CGACTTTAACTCTTTTAAAATTTGCTTTTGGTTTTGGAGTAAAGTCGGGTTTTTGAATGCATCCAAGTTTGAAAGTGGTTTCAAGGGTAGATTTCCTTGATTCGATGAAAGAGTCCAATTCATTGAATCCTATCCCTTGAGTATCCGTTTGACCATTTAATTTTTCATAAACGTCTTGGGCATCTTTATACTTCTTCATCAGAAGTTCATTGGTTTGAAGCTTCTGGTGAAGTATTTCCCATTCTTTTTGAAAGAAATCTTTAAGAGCTACTGAATTTAGTCTCTCTGCCTTGGATTCCTTTAAGGCCTTTGTTTTCTTTTCTAGGTCCTTAGTTATTCGTTTGTTTAATTCCAGAAGTTTATCTTCCTCTGATTTCTTAAGAGTGCTTATGCGAATCTTTTCCTTTGCAAGTTCAACTTTTTCTTCGGTTAGAAGGTCAGTTTCTCTTTTGTAGAAACTTGCTTCTTTTTCCGCTTTTATCCTTTCGGATTTTTCAAAATTTAATTTCTCTTTTAATATCAAGAAAACTTCAAAAAGTTTTATTACCCTTAATTCTAGCTCCGATGGAGCAGAGTTGGTTTTATTGGAGGTAGACTCACATACCTGGTCATCAGAGTTGTAGGTGGATTCTGCGTTGGACGTGGCCATTAGACATATGAGTGCTTTGTCTTCATCATCTGATGAAGAATCGGACAACCAATTTATTTTTTCAGCCATCAGGCTTCGCTCTTTGGAATTATATTTGTATTTGTTCTTGTAATAATTAGCATCCTTTACCAATCGTCCTCGGCATTCTTTGGAGAAATGACCGAGCTTTCCACATCTAAATCATCGAAGGTCATTCTTCCTTCCATCCTTGTCTTCTTTCCTCTCATCTCTTTTATCTTCTCTTCGTTCTTCTCTTTCTTCTCTCCCATCTCTTCTATCTTCCCTCTGATGAAATTTGGACGGCTTCCTTTCATACGATGACTGGTACCTTTCCCTTTTGAACTCTTTTCGTTCATAGGGTTTGTTGATGAACTTTCTCTGGAACTACTTTGTGATCAAGGCCAATACTTTGTGATCAAGGCCAAAGATTTGGCAAAAGCTTTAATTTCATCATCTGATTCAGAAGTTTCTTCTGAATCAGATTCTAATTCTACTACCAATACTTTCTTGCCTTTCTTTTTATRTTCTTTGGTAGAAGTCCTTGATTTTTCCTTTTCATCGG